TGTCACCAACAAATGTCTTAACCACAAGTGCACCTCAATATGTCTGCCATCCAGTGCTGACCCCCAACTGCCTTATACCTGCTTTTGTCGACCATCCCAGACATGGAATGGCAATGAGTGTGTCTATAGTAGCGGTGGTGGAGCTGATGGCGATAGTACCGCGACTATTGTACCAACGGTCAGACCCATGGCCACCACTCCGAGCCCTTTCCAGGTGTTGGACACCAATAAGACCCGACTATTACTCGCTGTCTATAAGGAAGGAATTTATGTCAAACAAAATATTCACGAATTGGACACTAATTACATTGAGTCCATGAATATGGTGTCCAGCGCTAAATGGATCACTGAATTGGACTACAATTATGAGCGCAACTGTATGTATTGGCTGCAAACGGCAGCACCGGGCGAGCTGTTCTCGGATAACATGAAAGCGTCACTCTATGGGATGCCTGTCGACCGAAACAAGCCGTCCCTATACTCCGAGACCAAACTACTTGTCAAAAAGGAGTACACATCAAAGCGCATGGCCTACGATTGGGTCCATAATCTCATATATATAGCTACCAGTGTTGGCGTGGAGGTGACCAGTCTGGACAACATGTATGCCTATACTGTGGTCACTCACACGGATACGCAACTGGATGTGGCGGTCGACCCCATACAGGGAGTACTGGTGTGGTCTCAGTATAGGTATAATGTGATCACCGAAGAACGGGCGGGGAGTATAATGCGGGCCAATCAGGACGGCTCTCAGCAGTCGGTGCTGTCGGCCGCCAAACTGCCACTGACTATAGCGGTAGACATTAACGCACAGGTAGTCTACTGGATCGACACGTCCACCTATTCGCTACATTTGGTGGACTACACGGCTATTAACTACAAGACTATACTAATGGAGAGATCCCTATTCGACGACACCTTCTCTATGGATGTCTTCGCGGACTATATTTTTTGGTCTAATTATGACAAGAATGCAGTGCTTATGACCCATAAGTCCGGCCTAAACGGCACCCAAAGGTTGGCGCTCGTCAACGCCTACACCGATATTGAGGGCATTAAAGTGTTGGACGCCTCCCGACAAACTATAGGTGCTAATCGGTGTGAGAGTCATAACTGTTCCCATATGTGCCTTCCGGTTGGACGCGACTACCGGTGCGTTTGCTCTAGGGGTAGCAGCGATTGCACCGAAACTGTAAGTCATTTACAAGAATAGTGTGTTTTATGAGAATCGATGTCCACATACAGGTGTTGTATATTTAGTTTTAATGGTTATTGTAGTAGGAATTGCACAGTATTTTATGTAATTCTCTAAATAAGTATTTAAAGTAACTTAACCTGAATATAATTTCTATTTCCAGTCAACATCATCCTATGTAATACACATAAACCCAGTCCAGAGCCCAATCGTCGACTCCGACAATAACTTTATGTCAAATTTGTCCCAAAAATTGGATTCATTGCTGAGGAGCGCCGACCTAATGACGGGTGCGGCCAACGGGTCGCCCACCCATTGGGTGACCATAACGTTGGTGTCGATCGCATTTAATCTCATATTTATATCCCTATTCTTGGCGTTGATTTATCGCAAGAGAAAACTGTAAGTAAATTATCTTTAAGTAAATATCTGTAAGTAAATTAGTATGGCGATTCACTATTATATTTATATTTTGAGCGTTTTTATCAAATATTGTATTAAAATGTGCTTTAAATGGGAAATGTAGTCAATTTGGGGGCCGAATATCGTACCACAACGATGCTGCCGATCGGGTCATACTCGACGACAACTCCCTGAGCGGCGACTGACCCCTGGGTTAGGGATGTACTCAATATACTAGTTAATAATTTTTAAAAATTTATTTTCAAGTTATATATATACATATTTTTATTTTATGTTTAATTATAATACTGTAACTGTAATCTTGGTAAATATTTGATTGCCATGAAGTCTATCAGTATGTACTCACCCACGAGGACCACTATATACACGGAACCGATAGTCAATATCGACCCAAATCTCAAGAATATTCCTGAAATTTGACTCACGATTCCAGAAAAACAAAAATCTCTAGCATTTGATTGGATTCATAATATCCTATCCTTTCCCGTCTGATATCAATGGCATTTATGCGGCGAACCTAACGGCGTCCGACCGGCACTTCCTAATAGTCCGCCACAAAAAATGTGTCATAAAAGACATACGACTGGATCCGTTGGAATCGCTATTGTTTTGGTCGGAATATGTGAAAGATAAAAATTATTATACTGAGTCGTATGACAAAAGCCAAATAATGAGGGCCTCCCAGGAGGGACAGGGCGTTCAGGTTCTCGTGGGTGCGACACTTGTGGCCAAGAATTCGCTGAATATCGACATAAACGCCAAAAGGGTGTATTGGGTGGACA